CTGTGCTCCCTGCTTCCTGGCATTCACCTCCCTTTGGGGTCTCTTCCTACTCCTTTTCTGTCTTTTTTTGTTAGCTCCTCTTCTTCTACCAGCCCCTTAAATGTCAGATCTCTACTTCCAGCTGCGAACTCTCTCCTAAGCTGTAGGCCCCTGTTCCTAACTTCCAGGTGCCTGTTCTGTGGACATTTCAACCCAAAGGCAAAACTCTTCTCTCTGGTTCCCCATCTTGGTAAATGAATAAAAGCGTCATTTACTTAGTTGCTCTAGTCGAAACCCCAGGAACCGTCCTACACGTCTCCCCCCACCATTGTCCACCACCCTCCTGCATACTCACAATCCGATGGTCCACCAAGCTTGTCACCTTTACATCTGGGTTCACTCTCTGGTCTGTCCTCTCCTCTTCACCCTCATGGCCAATGCCCTGTCCAGGCTCATGGTGGAAGGGTCCCTGAACTGCTCTGACTGGTCTTCTCGCCTCAGTCTATCCATCTTTCATGTCTCCCTCCTCCACTCCAGGATCCACCTCCAGTATGCAAGTCACCATTTCCAAACAAGTCTGGTCCCTTGCCTCCCTGCCACTATGGTGGTGCCGACCCAAGCATTTCAGAACATCTATGGATGTTACTGATATTAACAACAATAATGACAACTAACACTCTCTGGACAAATAAATTTGGAACATATTGGATTTGAACAAAACCAAGCAGGTTTCTTTGCTACCTGGCTTCTAGGATTCTCCAGTGTGCTGATATGCTCAGGAACGGAGGTAGTTTACAGCTTTGCTAAATTTATTGACATGAGATCACTTCCTCAAAGAGCATCTCCCAGGATAAGCGTTCCAGCACACACACACCTGTTGAATGATTGTTAACTGGTTGAAATCAAATAGGAATATGACTTAGCTCGACAGGAAGGATCTTCAGGTAACCTCCTTAACCTCTCTGACTCCATTTATTCGTCTGTAAAATGGGGTGATAATAACCACTACCTCAGAGGTGGTTTGTAAGGATTAAATGAAACAGCCCTTGGAACATCACCCGACACCCAGTAGGTCCTCAGTGACAGGGGTCGTGTTCCAGCCAGGGCTTCCTTGAGGGAGGAGGCAAGTAAAAGAAATTAGCTCTCAGAGCCGTAACTAAATTCTTTTTCTTCAAAGGTGTTCCTTTAGGCCATTTCAAAGAGTTTCTCGTCCTTCAAGTATGACTAACTCAGAAAAGAACGTTCTACTCCTAGAGTCTAAGACCTGGGAACTTCGGAAAGTGAACATGGGGAGATCTAAGACAGGTGTGTGGAAAAGTGAAAAAGTTGGGTGGTGTCTTGGCGTCCTCTGCTGGTCAATATGTGGAACTGCAGGGAGACGGTCAAGCTAGTTTTCTAGACCTACGGCGGGAAGCTCTGTGCCGTGAGATGAAATTGCTCTTTCTGCCCACCCCCACCCCACCCCGGTCAGTTTCCTCTTGCACTCCTCTAGGGGCTCTCCAAATTTTAGCCACTTGCAACCCACCATTTTTCCAAAGGCCCTCTGTCAGCAAGTAGCCCCCTTTAACCTCCTGCCTCACAGAAGGAAAATTGAGGCCATCAGATGTGAACCCTCAACTTCCTGCCCCGCCTCGACAAAAATATCTGTCTGCACCCACCTGTGTCTCCTTTCCTCCTGCTGTCCGACCCCTCCCCTCTCTTAAAAAACCTAGACTTTGTCCCTCTCCCTTTCCCAGTATTTTTTCTTTAATTTTTAAGAATAGGCTATCTTTTTAAAAAATGATTTTAGATTTATAGAAAACTTGAGAGGACAGTACAGAGTTCCCCTATACTCTGCACCCAGTTTTCTTTATTAGGAGCCTCTTACATGGTACATTTGTTACAATTAATGAACAAATATTGATATTATATTATTATTATTAACTGAAGTCTGTAGTTTATTCAGATTTCCTTAATTTTTGCCTGATATCCTTTTTCTGTATTAGAATCCCATCCTAGATACCACATCACAATTGCTTGGAATGGCAAATTATTTGGAATTCTTCTGCACTAGAGATTTGTCTCTTCTCCCCTATTCATTCATTCATTAAGTCATTTGTTTATTTCATTGTGGACTCATGGATATTTACCTAATATAAATTTAATATAACTTTGAGTTATAATCCAATACTACTTTATTACTTCAATTGTCCTCTCTCCAGTATTTTTAACTTCTTCCTTCTTTAGTGTCAGACACATAGTGATTTTATCCAGCTCGCTCCATGATATTTTTTGCAGCACTGTCTCACATAGCAAATATTGAAAATAACCTAAATGTCCATCAGTTGGGGAATGATTAAGTGAGTTTTGAAATAACCATTGTATGGAATACTTTGTAGCCCACCCCCCTCCCCTCCTTGACACTTTCTTTCAATGAAATAGATCTTTGTGTACTTGTGTGTGGAAAAATATAGTGATTAAGGACACAGGCTTTGGAGACCAGCTGAGTTCAAATTTTGGTACTGTGGCCTTGGAAAAGTTACTTAACCTCTCTGAGCCTCGGTTTTTTTTAAATCCATAAAATGGTGATTACAAGGGAATATATACTTCATGGGATTGTTGTGAGAATTAAATAATAGCTGGACAATGCCCAGAACTGTGCCTGGCACATGGTAAGTTTCCATAAGCATTAATTATTATTGGTATTATTACAGAAAGATCTCCAAGAGGTTGTGTTGAGTGAAAGGGGTAAGTTGAAGAAGAATACATAAAGCATATTACCATATGTAATACACATGCATTACATAATACATAATAACACATAATGCCATATGTATACCACATGTGAGACATGATCAAGTCTATTCATGATGGAAAATATCTCCCTCTGTCCTGCGTCTCCTGCTATACACGCTCCTGGAAGGAATAGTGTCTATTTCTACCTCTTTATCCCAGGGACTATGAGCACTGTGGGATAGTAATAGTAATAAAAATAGCTAACACTTATTACTCTCGGCTCTTGCCATGAGCCAGACCCTGTGCTAAGCTCATTTTATGGATTCTTTCCTTTATGTCTCCCAAGAAGCCTCTGCAGTAGATGCTAATATTACATCCATTTTACAGATAAAGTGAGGCTTAGAGAGGTTAAGTGTAGAGCTGGCTAGCAAACCACAGAGCCAGAATTCAAACCCAGGCAGTTAGACCCTCCGTAATCCTTTACCGAGATTCCCCAGTTTTTAGCATTTTGTCCCACTTGCATTATTATTCATTTGCTCTGTATGTATGTATATATTTATTTTTTTTCCTCCTGAACAATTGGAAAGTTTTGCAGATGTCATGCTTCTTTTACCACTAAAGACTTGAATGTGTATTTCCTATGAACAAAGATATTCTCCGACATCACCCGAGTTCAGTTGTCAAAATAATCAATACTATTAGTTAACCCACAACCCACATTCAAATTTGTCAGTTGCCTCACTAGTGTCCTTTAGAGCGATATATTTTTTCCAGCCAGCCCCATCTAGGCTCAGGCATTGCATTTGGTTGTCTCATCTCGTTAGTCTCCTTTCATGGGGGGCAGCCTTTCCTTGTCAGCAGCCTGGCTTTCATTCCCCATGTCACAGTGGTGCAGCTTAGCAGAGCAGCAGTGCCACTGTCATTCATTCAGGAAGTGCTACTGAAATTTTCAGAGCAATAACTATCTCACTCAAGCAAATAAAAGGGAGTTCCAGGTCTACAGGAATCAGACTGGTGGGTCTTTTCCTGAACAACAGAAAAATGCCCCCAATATACATGAAATTGATGCAAGTGGATAGTATCAGAGGTATGCAAACTGCCTTAGAATTAAGGGTCTGGTGGTTGAGGGCAAGGCAAAGAGAAGTCTTGAGTGGCCAGGGAAACATGACATGCGTTGGGGTGTTGGAGGGGGACCTGTGAGAGGTGGGGAGTCAAGCCTTCCCCCATCCTCTCCAGAGCTGCTTGGTCTCTGACTCCCAGGCCTCCATCGTCCTGTGTGGAAATTGCCTGACTGGACCCACCTGCTGGACATGTGGGAGCCTGGCTCCAGTGCTGGGAGATGGTTATTTCCACCTGGCAACCACGAGGGGCGAGCAGGCCTGAGAGGGGAGTTAGCACCAAGGAAGGAGAGCCAGGAAGGTGCGTAAGAGAAAAACCAGGTTCCTGGTCACATTATTTGAAGGCTAGCTCAGGCCAGACTTAAAAGATCTACCCTCTCACAGTTCAGTTACATAAGCCCAAATGGTCTCTTTCTTATTTAAGCAGTGCCCTTAGTTATAGTTGCTGTTTGTCATGTAAAGAGTCCTAATGGATACAGGTGGTCAGATTCCATTGATTCTACTTCATGGGTATTTCTTGATCATCGGGCTTTTTGCATGAAGGGCTGGGGAGATGCAAAGATAAACCAGATGGGGTCCTGTCCTTAAAGAGCCCTTTCTCAGTCTGGAGAAGAGGAAGAGGGAAGAGAAGGAAGGCCTAAACTTGAGCCCTGCCTTTGAAATGCAAACATCCCTAAGAGGAGTTCACACAGATCCTCTAATCAATTAATAGACTCACCCTAAGCAGCCCTGCGATGAAGGCCCATCTCTGGTGATTACCGGAGAGGCTGCAACACCAAGAATTAACATCTGATAGTTTTGCCGCAAGAACTTGGGATCCAGTAAGTCAACGTGTCCATCATGAAATAGCAGCCAATGAAAGTCCAAATTCCACATCCCTCAATGTGGTTAGCAAGGCATTACTTTTGATTTTAAAGGCCCAGGCACCTAAAAGCTCTTTTTGCACCTAAAACCTGCCAAGTTTAATCTCGAAACAGCAAAATCAAGAGCAATCCACCCACAGCGGATAAAATAGAGGCAGTTAGGTTACAAGACATACCCTCATGACACATGAGCCCGGAGTGGTCTTTAAAAAAAAAAAATTAAAGTATTAAAGAAAAATTCCAGCTCTGCAGGACCAGATGTTTCTGTATCCTAGAAAATTCCTAAAGAATGAAGAGATATGACACAAAACAAATGCTATCGAATGTTCCCTTTGGTAGCACACATGCTAAAATTGGAACCATACAGAGAAGATTAGCAGGGTCCCTGCAGAAGGGTGATATGGAAATTTCATGAAGTGCTTTCCACACTTTTCAGGTGCGTTCATCAAACACACGAAACAGTACCTGTGTGAGGAGGTGGTGGGTTAATTAGCTTGACTGTAGTCATATTACTGTGTATACGTGTATCAAATCATCACGTTGTACACCTTAAATATATGCAATTTTTATTAAAAATGTATAAAGAAAGAAAAAAGTTGTTACCATTTAAAAAACCAAAATAAACAAAATGCTATCAAGATATACTTCCTCTTACTTGAAGACACAAAATAATGTAAAATAGTTGCTGGAATCCCTAAGCATTACAAAGTTCTGTTCCTGTTTATGATGAATTCGTAACAGTGAAAAAAATTGATATTTTGCTTTTTATTCCCCCTTTCTTTAAGGCAGTCTGGTATCTGGGGTGAAGTAAGAACCTGATTAGGAAAACAGGCCAGACCCAGGGAGGCAGGTGCCTTGTACTAGTCAGTCCCCCCTCCCCGGCCAGAGAAAGAGAACCAATAGGAAATCGTGATATTGTCATTTATTAGAAGCATATATTTGGTGTCCGTCCCCATTCCTGGCATAGAACTCCCAAAATCCTTGGAAATTCCTAAGTGATGAGGGCAATAAAGGTATCTTTTGTTGTATTAATGAGGTGACTATTGGACTGTATCTAAGGATGAAGGCTGGTTTCCAGGAAAAGCAACCATGTGATTAGAGTATTGGAACTTTCAGTCACGCCTCCCTGACCTCTGGGGAGGGGAGAGAGGCTGGAAGTTGAATGAATTGCCAGTGGCCGACGATTTAAAAAGTCCTGTTGCTGTAATGAAGCCGCCATCAAACCCCAAAAGACTGGGTTCAGAGAGCTTCCAGGTTGGTGAACACGTGGAGATCTGGGGCGAGCAGCATGCTTGGAGGGGGTGTGGAAGCTCCATGCCCTTTCCCCGCACCTTGCCCTTGCCTCTCTTCCACGTGGCTGTTCCTGAATAATAGATAATAAGCTAGGAATGTAGTAAGGAAAATGTTTCACAGAGTTCTGTGAACAGCTCTAGCAAATTCATTGAACCCTGGGAGGCTCTTTGGAACTTCCACTCTATAGCCAATTGTCAGAAGTACAGGTGACAACGTAGACTTTCAGTTGGCATCTGATGTTGGAGGGAGGACAGTCTAGTAGATGGAGCCCTTAACCTGTGGAATCGGATGCTATCTCCAGGCACATGGTGTCAGAATCCAGCTGGTGGCAGAGCGTTTCTTGGTGTAGGGGAAAAGGCCACATGTCAGAACTGGGTACAGACTTGGAGAGAGGTATATGTATAGGGAGAGTGATAAAGAGATTTATTAGAGGAATTGGCTTGTGATTTTGGAGGCTGAGCAGTCTTAAAATACACCATCTACAAACTGGAGACCAAAGAAAGCTGATGGTGTAATTCAGTCCAAGTCCAAAGACTTGAGAACGAGCGAAGCTGATGGTGTAAGGGAAGGTGAAGCCCAGCTCAGCCAGTCAGGCAGGCAGAGAGAAAGAAGTCAACCTTCTGATGCCTTTTTGTTCTGTTCAGCCCTCAGTGGATTGATCAGGTCCCCCCACACTGGGGAGGGCCATCTGCTATACTCAGCCTACCCATTCAAATACCAATCCCTGTAGAGACATCCTCACAGCCACACCCAGAATAATGTTTAGCCAGATATCTGGGCACCCCTTGGCCAAGTCAAGTGGACACATGCAACTAACCATCACATACCTGGTAAGGGAGGGGTTGGTGGGAGGTGGGACAGGACAGGGACAAGAGGGCCCAGAATTTGGTGGGAAGAAGTCAAAGCACACGCTCTGGCCACACTCCTCAATCATGTCACCTCTGGCCTGGGTACCAGAGATTGCTCTACTCTGCCCTGCAGTCTAGAATATGGGAGCTGTTGAAAGCTATTTGGTAATGATTCGCCTGCCTGGTTGTTCTCAGGCCCTTTGTACTGGAAATCCTCTGAGCAATTTACAAAACTACCGTTGCTTACTGGGTTTAATAACAAGAAAAAACAATGTGGTTGGAAAAGTCATGTTCCAGCACATGCGGGATACAAAGCTGAATAAGAAGCTAGTCTACTTTTGAGGATCTTAACAGAGGTTGACCAACTCAAAAATAAATTACTTTGATACAGTGTTGTTTTCCATTCTGTTATGGATTGAATTGTGTCCCCCAAAAGATATATTGAAATCCTGACCCCAGGATCTCAGAAAGTAGCCTTATTTGGAAATAGTCTTTACAGAGGTGATCATGAAGCCATGAGGGTGAGCCCTAATCCAGTATGACTGATGTTCTCATAAAAAGGCTAAATTTGGACACACAGAGAGACACATGCAGAGGGACGACAATGTGAGAACACCCAGAGAAGACGCCCATGTAACTGGAATGATGTTTCTCCAGGACAAGGAAGGCCAAGGATTGCTGCAAGCTCCGGAAGCTAGGAGAGGCGAGGAAGGATTCTCCCCTAGACTCACCAGGGAGACCACAGCCCTGCCAGCACCTTGACTTCCAGCCTCCAGAACTGTGAGACAATAAACTCCTGTTGTTTCAAGCCACCCAGTTTTTGGCACTTTGTTACAGCAGCCCCAAGAAACCAGATGCACATTCACCTGCTCCATCATCCAACATTTAACAAACATTTAGTGATTGATTACTGTGTAGCAAGCACTGGGCATAGAGTGATGAACAAGATGGTCCCTGTCTTCAAGGAGCTAATATTTTCTTGGGAAAAAAAATCAACATACATGTGGGATAAACAGTACAGAGAAGCGCAGGTGCTCTGGTGGCACTTAACAGGAAGGGCTTACCCAGCCTGGAGCATCAAGGATGGCATCTCAGTAGAGACCTGAAGGATGGAGAGGTGAGGAAAAGTGTCCCTGACAAAGGGAAGGGCATGTGAAAACCTTTGTTATGGGGGTGACACAAAACGCAGAATGGGAGCTCAGGAAAGACTTCCTAAGGAAGCGACACCTAAGGTGAGTCTTTAAGGATGGAGTTCTGGACTAGCATGGTCTGCAGGGTGAAAACTAGCAGGGCAGTGTGCTGCAATGGAAAATTCAAGGCTGGAAGGAGCAGGAAATGCGGCTACAGGTCTCATATTTTAGGACAAGGAGTCTACTTTTATTCCAAAGGTTGGTGGTGGGGACCATCAAAGACTCAAGCAGGGGAATATGATGATCAGATTTGTATTCTGGAAGGACCACTCTGAAAACTGAGTTGAGTATTGTCTGTGTTGGGTATGGAGGAGTCTGGGTCAGGCTGACTAGAGACAAAGCGACCAGCAAAGAGACTCCTGCACCAGTCCAGACAGAAGATAATGGGTAATGGGCCTGAATTAGAGGCGGAGTGGTAGTGTGGATGGAGAAGGGGGAATGGATTTTTAAATAGACATGTCTTGGTGCTCAGTTGGATGTAAGGAGTGAGAAAGGGGGGAAAATCTAGAATGACTCCAAGGTTTCTGGCTCAAGCAACTTAAGTCGCAAAGGAATTGCCTGGAAGAGGCAAATCAGGAGGAGGAGCAAGTCTTGAGAAGAAAATGAGGAGTTCGGGGTTGGAAAAGCTGACTTTGGGGTGATTGTGGGACGGCCAAGCGGAGACAGTCACAAAAGGCAGCAGTTTAGAGAAGCCTGAAGCCCGAGGGAGAGGTGAGCATGGCGTTGTAGACTGGGGGAGCCAGCAGCAGATGCTGGTCGCTATTAACACCGAGTGAGTGGAGGAAATTGCCTGGGGAAACGTGCAGAGGGCAGTGGAGCATGAAGGACCGTGAAGGGGAGCCCTCAAGGGAACCTGAAGATGGAGGTCAGAGAAAGTGGGAAGGACACACAAGAGAAGATGCATGGAAACCAGTAAGTAGAACATTTCGAGGAGGCAGCCAGTCAGGAGCCAAAGGCCCTGGAAAAGTCAAGTAATATGATTAACCATTGGATACTGGCTGGATTCAGAAGTTTCAAGATACTGGTAAGGGATGTACTCAGTTTACGTTAGGATAGTGGTTCTCAAACTTGAGCAGCCAGTAGAATCACCCAGAGGGCTTGTTCAGACTGGCTTCCAGAATTTCTGACTCAGTAGGTCCGGGCAGGGCCTGGGAACGCGCATTTCCAACTAGTTGCCAGGTGGTGCTGATGCTGCTATCCCGGGACCACGCTATGAGAACCACCACATTGGGCGTTACCATCGTCAGGGAAGTGAGGTAGCAGGGACAGCTTCATGGCAGCCACACAATGACCCCTGGGGACACTGGTAGGACTAGAGCACTGGCTCGTTGGAATTCCAGTCATGTGGGAAGTTCTGATAGAAGAAGAGCCTAACAGAGGGTTAAGAAGTCAGGCCCTCTCGGCAGGAAGTCCAACCAGTTTCCCTCCCAGCAGCCATATGTGACAGGGCACCACCCTGCTGAGTGGCAATTTGGCAGAAGCTATCAAAATAGCACTCATATATTCCCTCTGACCCAACAATCTTACTTTTGTGCAAAAGGGTGGAAAATAAAATTGTACGTGCTCACATTTGTATAAAGAAATTCTCAAAGGCTAAATGAGAAATTAATAATAGTGGTTTCAGAGACAGGGGTGGGGTAGGTCTGGAAGGATGGAGAACAGAGGTAGGAGGTAAATATTTTACTGAATACTTGTTTATGTTTTTTAAAAAACATTTGGATCATGTGACTCTATTATTTTTTTTCAATAGACACTATTTTTTAGAGAGTTTTAGCTTCATAGCAAAATTGAGAAGAAGGTACAAAGATTTCCCCTATAACCCCTGCCCCGACACATGCAGAGCATCCCCCATTATCCACCTCCCCCATGGCAGTGGTGGATTTGTTACAGTTGATGAACCAACACTGACACATCACTGTATCCAAGGTCCACAGTTTACATTACGGTTCATTCTGTGGGTTTGGACAAATGTATCATGACATGTATCCACCATTATAGTATCATACAGAGTAGCTTCACTGCCCTAAAAAATCCTCTGTGCTCTGACTCTCTGACTATTCATCCCTCCTCCCCTCACCTCCTACCGCTGGCAACCATCTGTT